CAGTTATTGAATGTGTTTTTTCTCTGTGTGTGTGTGTGTGTGTGTGTGTGTGTGTGTGTGTGTGTGTGTGCAGGGAGACACTCTTGAGATGGTGGGGGAAACTGTCAGTGGGATGGCTAGATGCCCATATGACCCGAAACATGCCAACGTGGCCCTGTTTGCTGGTGAGACTCCACCATCGCCTTTTGTTTTTCTTTTCATTTTAACATTACTGCAAACTGTCCCTGCATATTACAGGACTAAATATAGATACACAGCAGCGCGGAAAAGCTGATGTCCCTGTTGTTATTCTTTAACTTAATTACATGCCAGTCTGTGAACAATATTTATGTGTATCTCTCACTCTAATCATGCACATATGCTGTCCAGCATGTTCCCTGCACAGCATTACGGCTTTACTGCTTCCTGCCTGGACGAACCTAAAGGAAATGAAATATTTTTTTAATATATGAAGATACATTACACTGACAAAAGTATATTGAGATCATATTTTTAGTTCGTAAGGCAGTGCCGATCCATCAGAGGGGGCAAAGAAGCTACACAGCTAAAAATAACTATTGTTTTAACCAATTTACCAACTAATGTGCATAACTCAGATGTATGAAAGTAAAAACATATACTCCTCTACACACAGGGGTGTAGATGTTAGATGGAAAATGGGTCTTCATTCTGATAATAATAATAATATGAATAATAATATTTTGCCATTTATATATATATATATATATATATATATATATATAGTTCAATTATATATCATATATTATCTCTACACAGTATTATGGAGAAAGATTTTATATATAGAGTTTGTTTGTGTGCTGTTTTTTCAGAGGGGAATCTTTACACTGCCACAGTGACTGATTTTCTGGCCATCGATGCTGTGATCTACAGGAGTCTGGGGGACAATCCTGCTCTGCGAACGGTGAAACATGACTCCAAATGGTTTCGAGGTAACAAAGACGTCAAACGTTAGTTGACAGGAAGGGGAAGCTGTGCAGAGTCAGCACGTGGATGCAATATTAATTCTGTTTGTGTATGTAAAATGCATGTTAGAGAGAGTTAAGTGTATTAATGTGTGTCATGTCCATTGTTAAAAAGAATTTGTTTGCAC